GGGGGGGGGGGGGGGGGGGGGGGGGTAGGAGGGTTACGAGAGCACACTTTGAGGTCTATTGGAGAGGTCAGAGCTTCGAAGGTCGATGTACAGGCGGTCTACCGTCCCGAAAGGGATCGATCGCCCCTTCAACAAGCTGGCTGTAAAAACGATAGGATGTTCCGCAATAGAACCCTCCCACTGAGAGCTAGTAACCGGATAGCTTTGTGAAACGAATACTACACCGAGTCCAGCGGGATGGGGAGTTAAAGTCGCCGGTTTTCTTTCTTGTCGGTGCCATATATTGCAACTTATCGGTGAGTCACGAGTTTAGCGTGTGCTATTTCCATGCTTTGACCATTAAGACGGAGTTTCTCTTGCGGACGTCTATCCCTATCACCCTGACGTCTGGTTCAATCCCACGACTCTAACTGGCAGCAATGGTTCAATGCCAACACTTCAAATGAGGGCAAGAGGACGAGTCCACAAGATCAAGCTACCGTATGACGACGAGTGTGTTGTGTTGGCACAACAGAGCAAGAAGCCAGATGCATGCCGTCATAGCCTTCAGGGCAGATTGCTTTGGGCGATTGTTATGAGCGAGTGCGTCTTGATTACCGAATCCGCCGAAGAAATCGAAAGTTATTTACAGAAAGCTTACATCATCGTCGATGTCTAGTCCCTCCATTCCCTGTGCCCCCCCCTCCTCGCCGGCTGCGCCACAGCCGCCAACGTTACTCCTACCCGCGCCCCTCCCGCCGTTACTCTCTCCATCCGCGGAAGGTTCAACGTCGGAACCTCCCCCACCGGAGACGGCAGCAGCAATAATTGTTCCGTTCGGCGGAGGCATGTTGAGCAAGTCTAGCCGTGACCCCTCGATGCCGTCTCTCGCCATGAGATCGCTGTGTGCCCGCTCCCGCTGGGCCTGATTTGGGAGGTAGTAGTCGAGGAGTGCGTCGCAAATCGCCACACCCGCTTCCTGCGCCGTGGATTGACGCGATTTGAGTGCGACGGGTGAGGGGGGGGTTAACGGGAGCAAGGGGGCGAGGTGAGGACACAGGGGCAACTCTTGATGGCACTAAGAAGGGAGTAGAAATCTTGCCAAGAGTCCACGGTAGTGCTGTTTTTTTCCAGCCAAACGTAGTTCGCACTCTTTGATGGAAATGTTTCGTTGTCACCACGGTTACCTGCAGGTGATCAGTGTTGAGATGGTGGTCCTTCAAGGGACCGAAATCCACCCCGCAGAAGGTACTCTCCACGGTGTAACTGTTGCCAATGCCAAGGTCTCGTGCCTGCGACAAAGAAAAACGGGAAATAATTGATTGGCTAAACAAGCTTTATCGCATGTACTTGTCGGGTTAAGTCCCATGTCAAAACCTGTAAGCTTCGTCCACCACACGGTAGCAGTCACCCCGATTGCTACCTGTTGCCGAAATAGTCGAAAGTACGAAAACGCCGTCAACGTCGAACGCAAGGCTAATCCTTTGTACCCCGATACCTCCATCGTCATTTTGGTCTTTTCCCTGCCTGTACTACTCACCACCACTACCCTTGCCGTGGCCTCCCTCCCCTTCTTCACTGCGAAAGAGCACTCCTTGAAGGAGACGTACTTCCGTCCCAAGCGGTTCCAGCTGAGCAGCTTGGGAAATACGCGCGCTGAGGGGCAGGAGACGCCCCTACGCTTCTCGTCGGCACCGTACATGAAAATATTCATCTTTCGGCTGTCGTTGGTGGTTTCGGCGTAAGACGGGCGGGGTGGATACACGACGGGAACTTCGGAACGATTGTCGATAACACGCTTACGAACAACACACGGTTCTTTTCAGCATGAGTCTATGGTTTAGTTGTCTGTCGCGTGGGGATCTATTGAGTCTGATAGTCCACCTTTCATTCGAGTTCATCTTTCACAACGTGGTTGTCTACCCCTCTCCATCCTCAGCTCTCGTGGTGACCACGCGCCCTTTGTCCAACATGTTGCTAACGAGGCGGGGCTATAGAGGCAACATCTACCTGTCAGTTTTCGATACGGCGTAGAGTCGGAAACCCCGCAGTAACAAAAGAGAGAACTTAGCTTAGTGTCGCTTACTCACCTGTGCCCATGTAGGTCGATGTACATCGCAACCCCCTTCTTCCCCTGCTCCTGCCGGATATGTTGCTTCAGCCAAAACACCGTCGGGTGCAAAGCACGAGACGGCCTCTTCCACTGACGGTTCAAGTCTACTCCCGCCAAGCTTTCGATTGAGGTGGGTGGAGAGCATGGGCGAGCGCGTAGCAGAGTCGGGCAGTACAAGCAATACGGGTAGGTGGAAGGCGGGGGGCGAACAGAGCAAAGCAGAGAACCAGAGGGACAGCAGCACGATAGAGACCGGTAGTAGAAAAGGACACTCTATGACCGCGTGTCATGCCCCTATTTTTTTGCCGCTGATATGCGTTGCGTGGGGTACTGTAGAAATGGGCATGTCTTGGGCCCCAGACGAAAGATGGGCGGATTCACGAGCACGCGATGAGCGAGTCGCTCTAGGAGTGCAAGAAAACACACTCGAAATTGCCCGAAAGGCCAGAGCGGGCAACGTTCAACTCTGTGTAGCGTTTTTTTGCGCAAGCGCAAGAATTGGCGATATTCTTGACGACCCAACCCTCCCCCCTCCCATCAGATCGAAGCGATGGGCGCAGGCATGTCCGGATGAAATATTCCGCCGCCTCAGTCTCACCTACAACGGTTGTTGCCAAATGCGACCCCATCCGGGTTGAGCATTGGCACGATCTTGAACACGAACAGGGATCGAAGAAGCCTAGCCTCGGCACTGTCACCCATGAGAAAGTCCAGCATTCCTCGCATCATCCAGCTCGCCGGAGTCTCTCCTGGGTGCACCCGCGCACTGATCACCACGCAACGCTTGTTCATCCCGCGCCGGCCCACCATACTGCCCAGACCGTACCGGCCCCCTAATCCTGCTCCTACTCCAAGAGAGCCGTTACCGACGTCCTCGCCACCAATACCGCCGCTGCCGTTCATCGCCCCTGCTTGTGACGCCCCGCCAGCTACCGGTGCTGCTGCGGCTATCGGTTCTGTAGTTGTTTCTGACTTCTCGAGGTTGGTTTTTGTATTCCCGCTATTGTTGCTTGAGGTGGTCACCCCTGGGGGCTCTACTCCTGCCCCGTGATGTCTTTCGTGCTGCTGCTGCCCTTGGTGTTGTTGTTGCTGGCTAGAGCTTGGGGGACTGCTGCCATAGCTACTGCTTCTGCTACTTACTACTCCCGTGGCGGTTATCGGTGTGTCGTGGGGGTCTGTAACCGTAAGAAGGTCGCAGTCGTTGCCGCCCAGTGTTTTGCACAGGATTGTGTGGTTGAGATATCTGGAGAGGAAAAGGCGAAGAGAGACGGCCTTAAGCTTGAGGAGGGGAGTCTACGGGGACGAGCACGGCGAGAAAGAAACGGGATCGTAAGTGGAGCTGAACCACTGCATACAGGAGGACGATATCGTCCCACCTACATACGCCTATTTTTCTTCTCCGGTATTATATTTGCCCTATGTTCCTCCACCCTTGAAACCGAGTCCCCCCCCCTCAAAAACATACCTCGACGTGCGCTCGTTCTCAAGGAGTCCGGCGAGATGTCGCTTGTGATCAGAGTACGAATAGGGATGCGCGTGAGCCAGGCGGTAAGTATCCCCGGAGTTGGGGAAGGTCACCGACAGCGAAAGCGTGTAGAAGCTGGCGTGCGATCCATCCGGCTTGTACCAGGAGTACCCGTTGCTAGAGCGGTACGGGACGGAAACGGGGCAGAGTTCACACGCTTTGGGGACACGGCCAGGCGCATAGATCCGCTTCAAATGGAGGGACACCGGTACATAATGGAAAACACGACGTCGGCAGGATTGAATATTCCATACAGTAGTGTTATGTGATCACAGGGAACGGCCCATCTCCTGTCCTCCTTTCAAAGAGGTCTATGTGCACGGAATAGTCTCTTTTGACCTTCGCGGACAAATCATGTACCTACGGTAGTCGATTCCGTGGCCGCAACGCCGCCACCCAAGCCCTTTCTCCTCGGCATCCTTGTGGGAGTACATTACCGGCCTCATGCCCATCGCGAACAGGCTATCAGGCTTGGTGAGGTTGACCACGTTGAACTTAATCACCGAGTCGCCGACCACTCCTGCCGTCGATCGGGCAGCGGCAACAACGCGAATTAATCGATCAGTTCACCGTCATCAAGGAACCTGAAAGTGATATAAGTCGGCACCACGCACCTACAAGATACGTTGATCCGGGCGAAGTGCTCACCACCTCTCCCTGTCGCAATGAAATCGAGTTGATTGCTCGCCATCATGAAACACCCTAAAAATCACGCACTAGATCGTTGATGTCGACCTCATTGCCGCCGAATTCGACAGGAGTTCCAAATCGCTTAATACCTACATCGGCCCCAATGCCCCAAAACAAAAGCTGTATCGCGACTCCCGACAACACAACTCACACGTTGCACACTTCCTTCTTTACTACTTCGAAGCAGCATGAATCGGCCCTCGTCGGCCTGGCTTTATGAAGCACTTACCGGGAGGGTGTGTGCCGCGCACGGCAAAGTAGAACCACTGGGTGTGCCCGTGGGTGTGGAGGTCCGGCCGGAGGAAGAGATCATACTCCGCAGGTCCTCTCTGCAAAGTAAAAGAACATCGCCTGAACTTGTGAACAATACTGTAGTCCAACACAGCCATATCGAGTTTACTATATTGTGCAGCTGTAAGTCCGCTCGAACCATACAAACCACAACTCGCCTCTAAGCAAACTTCTGTCGGGCAATAGGCTCCAGGTACACAACTACCCTGCCAACCCCATACCTGCACTGCGCGTAGAAGATTGGCGCTCTCGAACGAAGAGAAAAACTCCATACTGTGTCGGTGAGGACAAACCGCTCCGGGCGGCGCGCGTCCTAACCAGTACGGATCAGGAGCGTTGACCTTGCTGACCACGCCTTTGCCCGCAGCGGAATCGCCGTCGTACACCAGCCACAGTCTCTCGTCACCCCCCATCGCTCCTCCACTCCCGCTTGCCCCCACAGAATACCTATAGGATAGTAGCCCCGCTGCGGCACTGACAGACGGGTTTGGAGCTCCTGCCGCTGACGTTAACGCTCCCCCGCCGCCTGGTCGGTGTGGCAGCGTCGCGCCTACCCCCTCGCCAACCCCGGCTGGCGGTGTGGCGGTCACCGCTGCCGCTGACAAAGACGAATTCGCCATGAGAAGAGATGAGGCGGATGGTAGGAGAAAGGGCTCGAGATTTGTTGGACTTGAGAGCATCAGCCCCACACCACCGGCCGCTGCCTCGTCCACGAACGCGCTGCCGCCCCTGCCACGGCTGTTCGCGGGGGACCCCGATCGACCGCTGTCGCCGCCACCTCCGGTGTTCTTGCCGCCGCTGCCGTCGTGCCCGTCCCTGTCTACCACCGCGCCAGTCGCTGTCGACCGATCGTCAGATGCTTGCTCGCTGCCGTCAGCCTTGGCTGCCGCTGAGGAAGACGTGGCGGCTGGTGGTGCTGCGGGGGCGGAGTCTTGATCGACTTCGTCGGGCTCCGGCGGGTCGTCCGGGAGAAACGTACGCATGAGGTAATCGACGCCCTACGTTGGTGCAGGGCCGGGGGTGTCCACCGCAATTGGTTTTGGTGGGGTGCTAGTTGAGTTTGTTTGGTTCGGAGTAGGCCCTTCGAATCTAGCGTGCAGTGATGCTTTCGTGCTGACTGCCGTACTAGAAAGCAAAACGCAACATTTTTCACGACTTTTTGTCTCCGCACACACCTCTCGACTATCGCTCGGTTGCCGGGCAGCTCGCAAGCTCTTCAAGACCTCCGGAACACAAACGTCGAATGCCACGAGAGAGATGGCCTCCCCCAGCGGCACCGCGCCCCCGAACCTACCGAACCCCATCTCGGCGAAGCCCTTGTCCAACAACCTGGAGTAAATGATTTAGTTTGTGTTTGTTCAGGTCGAAGCAATCGAAAGTTTGTGCACCTTCGCGGGGGGCCCGGTGGGAACGAGAAAGTGCCGGAAGCAGTAAAGATAAATCGCCCGGAAACTTCGATGAGATACTGAGGAACGTGCCCCCTTAATACTCCTATTATACTTGCGGCGAGATGAGGCGAATCGAGTCAGACGTTGGACTGGTCGAGTAAGGAAAGAATCGATCAATGACATGCGCACATCTCACTCGGGCGAGGTTCTTGTCTGCAAACCTTGAAGTTTGAAACTGTCGGCAAGTGTTTGCCCGTTTGATGTAGCGCAGACCCCCGGCAGGCGACTGCTGCGGTGCGAGACCATCAATAAATGTTGTTCTTTGTTTTCACGCGAGTAAAGACGGAGGGAGGTTTTCTGTCGTTTCGACTTTTATCTTCCATACTCATACATCGAGGCTATTGACGTTTTCCCCCCTTAGTCTCTGGCCTTCCCTCTTTGTACTTCGTCACTCTTCCTGAAGTCCTTCTTTCTATCTACTTTGTCAAGGGATGTATGCCGGCGCATGTGTCTGTGTGCCTCTTGCTTGGCCTAAAACGTGTGACGGCATCCGTTCCAATCCAGCAGATCGGCAGGGCATCTGGGGGTATTTCCAAGACCGCAGTTGGATGTTATCCACGAGGAGCCCAACAATACCTGCAGAGTCGCTCCACCGCCTGCGCCATCGCGGGGCTAAATGACACATCCCCCGACGCCGCCGCCTTCGCCGCTGCCGCCGCCTGTTCCCCGCTAGCGAAACGGCGGTTGCTGTCCATCCCTGCCTCAGGAGCCCTGAACAGCGGCACAGCTTCGGCCCACACTAGACCCGCTTTTAGCACCTCACGAATCCCCAGGTGCATCTTCCCTCTCGGTGTCACCGTGAGTTGTGCTGTATCCGTGCCGTCCCTACGGATCCCTTTTGCGGTTATCGACGTGATCGCCGCGCGTGCCGCGGCCTCTTTGTGGCTGGAACGATCGGGGGCAGCATTGTTTGCCGCGACCGCCGCCGGCGCCGTCGCCGCTGTGACGATGGTTGTGGTTTCAGATAGCTGTTCTCCTCTAGGCGAGGAGGAAGACTGTGGCTTTGCGGCTGGTGCAGCCCCTGGTGCTGCTGCCGTCTCCTTGCCGCCCCCCGGGCCGCTGGTGCTGCCACCGCGCCAACCCCGACCCCGAGCAACCATGGCGCCAAACGAATTTTGTTGCTCCCACTGCTGCCGCTGCTGCTGCTGCTGCTGCTGCTGCTCCCTCTGTTGTCTTTGGTGTTCGCTGGATGCCCCGGCTATGGCATCGCAGGCGTGCGCCCACTCAATGATGCACGCCTTTAGAGCCATGAAAACGAGCCCCGCCAAGTTAGGGTCTCGTCGCCGCGCTCGTAGCATTGCGCAGAGAGCCTGCATGCTCGCGTTCCAGCCTCCCGAGTCGCCGTTGCCGTCTTGACCTCTGCTACCACCACGGGCAGCCTCTACAGCTACCGTGGCGGCTGATGATGCCGTTGCTGCAGTACCTCCTGCCCCGCCCGGGCCATTTGAAGGGCCACTCCCTCGCTTTCCTGTCCCCGACCCCGATGTATCGCCCCCCGCGGCTGCCGCCGCCGCCGCTGACGATGTCGTGACAGGTGCTCCCGTCGCGGCGGACTTGGTACCGCCTTGTGTTGTACCGTTGCTCCGATTGTCCTGAAGCGGGGCGTACGCGAATCGTAGGCCAAGGATTCTGCTGTTGTTGTTGCCGATGCTACTGCTGACGATGGGCGATGGGGTCACCCCGCAGCTTCTTGCTCTGCCGGCAGCGGCAGCGTTCAGCGCTGACTGTTGATGCTGATGCTGTTGCTGTCGAGGAAAGAGTCGCTGGAGCTGCTGCTGCCCGCGGTCGTTCGGGGAGCCGGTGTTATTGCCGTTACCCTTGTTGTTACCATTTGATGCCGTTGCGAGAACGAACAGCTTCGAGGAACCTCCTCTTCCTCCCTCCCCCTCGGTGCTTGTGCTGGTGGCGATAGCTTCGTTTCCCCAACCCTTGAGGGTTCGGAGCGAGCGGAGAGGACGGGGGCAACGAAGCAATTGGTGGGCTGGCATTTCATAACTATTGTACAACCAAGATGTGTCCTAGCGCAGTTACCGTTTCCGTCGACGGATCGATACGGCTTCGACAACCAACAGTACCAAGACGGGTAGGAGTTGTAACGGCGACGTGCAGGTACGGTGGTGAAGATGCTGCCAGCGGTCACGGAAACTGCCAATAAAGGCGCAAGAGGCGCCCCCTCTTCCTAGCCAACACCACAACGATGCATTTTTTTCGCACCATGCGACCTTTCGGGAGATCTATCGTCGACGCCCACCCCCCCTCGTGAGCCGCCGCAAGAAGGGCTCCGGCGACCGCTACTGCTGAGTCGGTGATCCCCCTGCTCGTCGTGTGCAGCGCCAAGCACTGGAGCACGGTAGGCAGCGCACTTTCCTCTGCCACCAATGCTAGAACCTTGTATTTCGATAGCCAGCGTACGAGGAAGCGATTATGGGAGGGGATAGAGCCGAGACAGGTCGTTCGTTTACGACGTTGAGTGAAAACATTGGCTTGAGACACGTGACACGGCTGAAGAGGACGATGGGCTGTTTTGTGAGGAGCAACCAACCCTCGGCGAATACTAATAGACCAGCCTCGTTGACAAGCATTTGTTGTGATGATGCATGTACGCCAGAACGATGAAAGCGTGAGCGGGACATGCCGGGGTACGTAAGCCCGAAACACGGCCGTGCACGTGTGTGTGTATTCCACTGTAAGAAAAACTGAATCGCTGACGCTCAACGCCGGTACAATTGTCATTAATTCCACGTGTTGTACTTGGAGCAGAACCTGAGATGCGTGCCTCTACTTTGCCTTCGTCTACCCTGTACCACCTCTCACCACCGAAGGCATTCGGATGAGGTTGGCCGCCGACCGCATGGCCGCACGTACTATATCCTTCCGCTCCATGTGTGCTTGCAACACCAGCACCAGTGCTCGGACCTGGCCCGAACAAGACGCGGCATGACATGACATGACATGACACGGCGTTGCAGGCGTGATCGTTGTGTCGAGGCTATAGTGTCGTCGTTGGGATGGGCGATACAGGGTGGCAAACAATGGCCGAGTTGCCGGATGTGAAACGAATGCTTAAGTGACAAAAAAGGCATACGCATGCCGAAAGAAGACAGGCTGTGCATGTCTGTTCAAAGCCTGCGCGACAACCTACTCATGCACTCTTCCGGGGTGGGTGGTGAGTTGGGCCGTATCCCCCCCCACTTCTCCCTGGACGTAGTTATTGAGCAAAACGGACTTTCCTTTTCAAACTATGAACTCAACACCCACCGTGAAGCCGGCACCAGGACAGCCATAGCTGTAGAGAGAGAGAGAGAGACCGAGAGCATGCCAACAGCAGCATCTGTCGTGAAGCGATGCAAACAACACGAAGAGAGTCAACAACAACGATAACTCACAGAGCCCGTGCTGAACAACTCCCTGTCGGACATGCTCGTGCCGTCCACACCCCCTCCAGCACCGGTTCCAACACCACCACCCTGTCCCCCGTTCGTCGAACTGCTCCCGGTGCCGACTCCCGACAAAACGTTGAGCCCTCCCCCACCGCCGCGTGAAGATGCGGGCACGACCCCGACCCCTCGTAGGTTGCTTCGTTCTCCGTGCACGAAGGAGGGCGGGGGAATCCCGCTGAAGTGACGCCCTACCTACGCAATGCGGTTGGCGTTGACACAGCCCAGAAGAAACACGTAATAAATGCATTCGTGGCCTAGCAACTGAGTACACATTCAAATCGTTTGCAAGTACCATCGGACGAAGAGAGAGGAAGAGCGCGGTAGTTGCTGTATTGATGGAAGAATGTGCTTGGTGCAACATCCGGTTCGCTCTTCATGGTGGAGTATTCAAGACATATTGCCTGTATGTTGTTTTCTGTCCCCCTGTCGCCGTCACTGTCCCTATTGACACATGACAACAAGCGTGTTGCTTGGGCGCAGGTTCCCAGTGTATCCATGCCTTTCTTTGCAACATGTTCGTCTGTGTGAAGACGATACCACAGGACAGCCTACCCCAAGAAAGTAAGTTTATTACGAAAAAAAACCGGCAGGGGGCACGCAGATCCTATCCCCAACCCCAACCCCAACTCCAACTTAGCCGATTCTATACTTTATCCAGAATATTTTCTTACTTACAAAAATCTGCGTGGACAACTGATACCACCATTTGATACGTGGTCCTGATATGACTAGGAATAGGACCCGGTTGATGTGACGCCACCCCGTGGCATTTTTCCACCCCGTGAAAAACGCCCCTCCCCTCTTTCAGCTTCTCTCCCACGCCCGTCCCCGCTCCCGCCTCGTCCCACATTGTCCCCCCCTTTCCCCATGAGTGCCCTTTCCGGGGCACCGACCAATCGACCGACCGGCAATCCTCCAAACCCTCACCTCGACTTCGACCTCGCCGCGCATGACATCGGCGTGGGTGATGAGGTACAGTATGTGAACGGTGGCCGCCACGGTCTCTTCCTCCGCGGCGTGCTCCCTCAGCATCCCGAGCATGATGACCACGCCCCCGTAGGAGGCAATGTCTCGCGCCACCGCGGCCTCCTGCAGCATCCGGAGGAGAACGATGGCCGCGATGCGGTGCAGGTGGAGGAACCGAACGTGCGCTCGCAAAGCCGGTAGTAGGACCTGTGCTCGACGGGTTGGAGGGAGAGAGAGAGAGAAGAAAACGAGACAGAGGGGAAGGTTTGGGACAGCTTGTTTGGGGTGAACACTGCTGCAAGAAGAAGGTAGTATCATATTAGATGCATGTACCTTTTACTCGCCCGCAAAACAAAATGCGCTTTTGACTTGGTCAATGGCCGACGATACCTTCACGCCATCGGCTCCGGCGATGCGCGCTCCCTGCCCCTGTATGTCGCTGAGGATGGCGAGAGTGTGGCAGCCGCTCTTTACCACCTCCCTCCGGCCACTGTGCAGCGCCATGGTAGTTAAAACCGCTCGGATGCCCCCGCCGTCAGTGACGAGCAGGCCGTTCCGCTATTCGCATGTAGTGTGGCAGTACCAAGAAGATGGGGGGGACAAGAGAAAACATTATTTAGTTGGTACACCTCTTGGCGGTGTCTATTTTGAATACGTCTGGTTGTCCAGCCTGAATGCTGCAAACGTCGGCGGTGCCGTGAAAATCAAAAGTGCACTGCATTCGAAACACATCCATCCCGTCGTTTCGATTTTTCTTATAGTTTTAATGTAGGCACTACAGTGGTCGAGGTATTCCCTCCGCTGCACCTGATTTCCGACGATAAGGCTTGCCAGAGCGTCGAACACGAAGGGCAGGAGCGGAGCGTTCATCCGGTGAGATTGCAGGGCGCTCAAGATCGTCCTGCGAGAAGAGCGCAGTTGGACAAATAGGTGCGTGGTCGCGGGGAGAGGGGGTGGCGGGGAGGTGAGCCATATTACAGAAGAGAGTTGCTGGCTTCGTGTTTCGTAGCGAAACGAGCAGTATGCGGTTGAGCATATGCAAACCGCCACTGTTCTCTGTGCGGCACGTGTAGAAAACTTTGTAAGGGCGCTCGTGATTCATCGGTAGACGCAGTCGGTGAAACAACTCGGCCTTGCGTCCGTGAGCTGCAGTAGCGTTCGAACATGTGCCAATATCAACGACATCGCTGGCTGTGAACTAGAATTACGTCCAGTCGTTGACCCCTTGGCCGCACGACTCGATCATACCTGACGCCTCCGTGCGCAGCGATAAGGTTCTGGTTGTACGTGTTCTGGCACATATTGCTCAGGGCACCGCAAGCACTCTTGATCAGCTCGGGGCTGGAGAGGTGGGACGACATGCCCTTCAAGATGAGGGCGATGCCTCCTTGTCTCCCGACAACCTCCTTCACAAGGCCGTTGTTGAAGGCGAGGCTCCACAACAGATCACAGACCGCCTCCTGTTATTTGGCCGCAATCGATGACAGGGTAGGCGTCGAAATGGGTGTGCAATATGTTCAGCTTACGAGGCATACTTACAAAGAATGAGATACATGTACCATGAAATTGAGATTTTAAAGGCCTTGTTGCCCAACGATCTCTCAATCAACCTTCCTGTTTTGAATCTTGTCTTCAACGGATAGATCTCATTTGCTTGATGGTACGCAATCATGTGTATCCCGTATTGTGTACGATAGTACGGTGGAGAAATTCGATAACGGTGTAACAAGCGGAAGCGTTACAACTCCCTATGTCATATATGTCATCTGAGTGTGTGGTTTCTGGAGGATTGTGTCAAGACACTGCTGTGGTAACCAGGAGAAACAGGTGCTTCCTCTCCCCCACCATTGCGAACGATGTCAATTCGCTACCTTGAGTGTCATGTTTCATACCTGGAGATCAGGGCGAGTGGCGTGGCCCTCCATGACGGTGAGGATCAGTCGAGTACCATCCCTTGCAATGAGAAGTTTGTTGGATTCGTCCTTGGCGAGTATCGCAAGAGCCCCGCAGCAAGTCTTCAGGCATTCGACGTTCCCTAGGTCTGTCTGAGATGTACGTACGTAAATAGGCAGCCGATGGCACAAGGAACGATGACGGTGGGAGCAGTACTCTACCTTTAGACTAGTAAGTGCAGAATAGAGAACGATTTATTGATTGGCTGGAGGAGTACAATCAATAGGGTATTCTACATGTGGTGTTTTAGTATTGCGGCACACACACCTGCATCCTCTGCAAGATTCCGTGCACCCGCTGCTGCGGCAGGGAGCTGGACATGATCATGCTGGCGACCGTGGGGGAACTGTATCCCGACAATCAGCGTTCTGGCTTCAAGCGCTTTCTCATAAGGACTTCGCTAGGAAGCAGCTTCCTCCCATACGATGATACTCCAGCTTGATCAGATTGGATCACGTCCGCCGACGGCTGCTCGCGAATTCAGGTGTAGGAATGTACAAGTGTTGGTGTGTCGAAATGTGTTCATCAGCCGACGATTCAGTCGAAGCTTCGATGCATCCACGTCACCACTACGACGAAATACCGACAATGGAGGGAGAAGTTAATGGAGTATTCGCGTGTCGTGGCCGGAGAAGGGCGTGTTCCCACACTTGGGACAGCAGTAGTATTTGCTTCTTGTGCATGAAAAGAGATCTCCGTCGGTACTAATTAATTCATGGTAGTTGTAACCGTTACTGTCCAGAATCCCAACCGTAACCTATCTCGCCGCCCCTGGTGAGGCCGCAGGCCCCACTTGTATGTAGCTTTCCACGGCTTCACGCTTCCCGGCTTCACGTGTCACGGCTACACGGCTCACGGCTTCACGTGTAACCAAAGCTTGTTTTGGGGGATACCGACCGGAATTGCATCTAGGGATGCCAGGCAACGGGATAGACCAACGTTTTTCTTTGCGGGAACTCGGTGAGAGCTCACTATTGCTGCTGTTGGGGCGTACCTGTACAAGTTCAACCGGGATGAAAAAGCTCTTGAAAATACCGCAACGGTACAAGTAGGGAGTTTTTGCTGCAGAGTACTGAACGCCTAAAGTACTAGATATTATGTGTGCTAGCTACACATTCCATACGTGTAGGATTAGGGGAAGGGCAAGTGGTGGGGCGAGTACCCAACAGATGGGAATTGTCGCGTTGATTCCCGCACGTACGTGTACACCTGATTTGATGCGTGTAGCGTGCGGCCGGCATGCGCCATTCAACTACCTAGTCATCACACATCCAATGCATTGAATGGATATACTGTTAATTCTTAATATAAACGTATTGTGTGGACATAAGGACGGATGCATGGATGGATGTGTTCCCACGAAGAAAGAGGAGATAGTGGTGGTTCAGGGAGTAAAATGCCTGCTTCCTCCGTTTCCCTCTGTCTCTCTGTCTCTCTCTCTGTCTCTCCCTTTCTGCATTTGTCGCTCTCCCTCGCAATCTAAAAAGCTCGGGCAACCGTAGAACCACCCGAGGTTGGTCATCATGTAGCGCCATGAACTCTCATTGCAGATCCATCCGGACTCTGACCTGTAGAAGATATGAATTCGCACTTCAGCTCAGGGGTCCGATCGCTGATCTCCCGAATATGCACCATGTGTTATGTTCTTCGTCGCCTCGTTATTCTCCATGCACTGCTGCAACGTACAGGTTTGACAGAAAGTGGGAGTACATAGTCTAACCAAAATGGAGGATTCTACCCTTCGGGGACAATCAAATGAACCAAATAATCGACAAGAACTGCTGCCACGACGGACAAGGCCTCAAGACTCGGCCCTGGCAGCTATGCTAGAGGCGTTGCGAGAGCAGGAGGAAGAGCGCCGACTCTGCGCGGGGCCCCTCGCAACTTCGCTGCTCCGTTCCTGCGGGAGCGTAACTGCTGGGGGCAGCAACCGGGCAAGAGAAAGGGCGCAAGCGACCGTACACGAGGCCCTTCGCTGTCTGAAAGCCAACACCGGTAACAGCAACAGAAATAGCGCCCATCGCGACGGGCCGGAGTCACTCCTCGGAGACCTGCTTTTGGATAAAGGTATTACTGTACTTTCACATGTTCCTGTGACAACGAAGCATGCAAAGCATTGGTATTGTCAATACAATCAATTTTCCGGAGGAAAGTTATTCGGGAAGCTATTATAGGAAGTTGGTTCAGAATCATTGGAAGACTATTATTTTCATCTCTCGTTTTCATGGCTTTGCCCCCATTTCGACGGACACCCTAAACAGGGAAATTATGTGTTTCCCTTAGAAATGATACCGACGTAGTCGAAGATTGCGAAAAGGGACGACTCCTTTCAACGTGACCCTACGACTCAAGAACGACTACCTGAAAACAGGGCAGGCTCAAGTTTTGCAAGGTTGGCAGCAGAACAGCCCATCACACAAACAAACTACAGTCACCTACACCAACTTCCTTTCCCTCATGTTCCCAATATACTTTAGAATTTGGGGGTGCCCTTAACTCCTGGGTGGGCGACCAACGGGAAACAGCAGGGCCCGCATGGCTTGGCGGCGTGACCCAGGACAGCGACCAAACATTCTTCGAGCAAAGAAACAATAACGGCGCCATTGTGACCAGTGTTCGCGTCATTGGAGGCACCGCCGACCAGCACCATCAGCATCGGCCGCCATCCAAAGCTGATATCAGGCGCGAAGATCTACTGTCGGCCATTTCTCGAGTAACGAGGTGAGTCCACCTGCCACTAGTGTTAACAGTGAGATGATTGATATCCCGTTTCTGGTGTTGTTCAACCAGTGATGGGGCATTTGCTTAACATGGGCATCAATCAAAGCGAAGGGCCCAATTTTTTGCCTATTTCCTTTTGAAATGGTCGCCCACTGGCTGGCCACGCTATTGGAACAACAAGGCGTAGGGCGGCCAACCCATCACCAGTTCTTTTCGTACTCGGTCATACCCTGTACTGCAATTGTAGCCCTTGGACATCCGAGTGGCCTTATACTCTGAAATGTCTGTGCATAGGAACTGCGGTGGAAGCTAGAACCTTGGATTTCTGCTAACGTTAGCCGCGCGTAGATATCCTGGTCTACCTGTACATACCTGACGACTAGGAACTGATTCGCCGATTAGCTCCAAATGTTAAGCTTTCATATGCTATGATACTGTGCGCATGCAGACACCATATAGAGCCAGAGTGGGCGGCAGTAGAACTTCTGGACTGCATCGAAGAGGAGCTCACCCCCCGGCGGGAAGGGGAGCAGCAGCAGCTGCAGCGGTCATCTCAGATGATGTTGGATGCGATCCGGGTACTGCCTGCGCCGGAGGCGGGGGATGTTTTTGTCACCTGCGCCGCCAGGGGGCACGTCGGCGTCGTTCTCTTCTACTTCGAGGAAGGTACAGCAGTACACTGTCCCTACACCGCTAACGTTTCTTGTTTTTCTCTTGTGCCAATGTCATCAATCTTTTCTACCCTTCCATAAAGGCATCAGGACGAGGATACTTCGGTCGAAAGGATCCTGGCGATGTCGCGCTCTCGAAGCAGACCCCAGGGTTGTCGTGCCAACGGCCAGCAGACCAGACGCTCGATCGACAGACTTCTCTCTGCACTAGCGTTTCCGCGGAACATGCACAATCACGCGCGTGGGAGTCGCCAAAGAGGATTACCCGGTCATCACCTTCCTACATTGTGTACCGGGTTACACCCGAATTCCCTTCCCTGAACTCCTTGCGTGCCAACTTCGACCATTGATCATTTGTCCTGGTGTTTGTAGACGACCATTGCTACCAAGCACGGCCACCCTAACGGCCACCTTCAACGATACGGGCCATACCCCGATTTTCCCGATCAGCACTCGACCGCTTCTTTTCTTTGACTCGACACTCTCAGGGCTGCCCATCGACCACTCTCACACGACCCTCAAGTACCAGGCCTTGCATGCGGCGGTGGAGTTCGGGCACTTGGACAGCGCTCGCCTGTTGGTTGCCATGGGGGCTAAGGTTATGAACGATCTAGTGTTCTGAAGCGGGTCTGTTGATAAGATTTTATTGATAACACTTGCGTTTAAGATCTCGCGGTGGTCTTTTGCTGCGGGGAGTAGCTATTCCCCGCCCAGGAAACGACGCAGAAATTGCCCAAAGATAAATTGATCAAGTTTGAGTTGGACTTTGCGGGAGGGACAAACGATCTGCTTGATGGGAGGTCGTTGGGCGGAATCTTCGCGACATTTGTGCGGGCGTGGACCTCGCTGTAGAAACATGCCCGCCCCCCGCCCCCCGCCCCCCGCCCCTCGCTCAGCAGCAGTCTACCGAACAAAGAGTGTAGATACCAGGTTAGAAAAGGCCTTGCGACAGATTGTGCAAGAACAACATCATCAGCAATGAGAGGCGCGTTGCTTCTGATTCGCCGCCATACTCTTCTTTGCCCGACCGCCAACCTTAGGTGGACGCTCGCGGCGGTGCGGAAGACAGGAGCCCCCTCTTCCTAGCCGCCTTGGCCAAACGCTGGGACGCGTGCACCTGGCTGCTAGAAGTCGGTGCAAGCAAGATTATCCGGGACAAGAAAGGTCTCACGGCATATCAGGCGATGGCGGCGAGCAGTGACCCGGAGGTAAATGCGGCACTAAAGTAAACAGCCTGAAGAAACAAACAGGAAACGAACAACCCTCTCACGGAGAGGAGGGGGTGGGTGGCGTTGATATGCGTGGCGGGGGCGATGTAACATAAGAGCCAGCAGAACGTCAGCGATAGACATCAACAATATAATGTTGGTACTGGAACGTAGGTGGCGGAGCGTTCGGGGATGCTGACGGACCCGCCGCAGAGGATCGTCTCGGTCTCGTGCCGAGGCATCACGCACAACACCCTGGACCTGACCTGGAGCGAGCCGCTGAGGAGCTACGACGAGGAGGTCTTCGTGGGTTATCTGGTGCGCGGGTGCCGTATTCTTTCGTTGTACTTTTGCTGATTTTCGGGGCATGTTTAAGGGTATAATGTCTGAGTTTTTTCGCTGAGGGGCATCTGTGCATACGCCAGTATGAGCCGGCCCACCCAGTCCAATCATGCTCTACGTGCCTCTACATCACAACCTCTCTCCATCGCATACCATGAACATCAAAGGTGGAATGGCGGCCAATGCGGTCGCGACCTGTGTGTCCCGCCCACAGCAGACACGTCGCCGAGAGGGTAAGACCTCCGCGCAAGGGCAAGAAGAAGAGAGGACGGGCGGGCTGGCAGGGCGCGGAGATCAGGCCGGGCACAGCGGAAGAGGCATGCACTACATCGCACCAGGCGTTCTCTATGGGGGGGGACAGGTAGACTTTACCATGCTGTATTGGCGGTATGCTGCTGTTCTGACGCCGCGCCTTTTGCCACACTTACTTGTAGACTGTCTTCTGAATTGTCGCATAGAGAATGGACAGAGCGCGCAGCAACCACGCGCTTCTTTGTTTCGAAGCACAAATATCACAGACGACTCGTTCATGTCAGCCTTTTGCGATGTCTACAGTGTACCCGCGGTTGACTATCGAGGCAGGTGGCACCATTAACCTCATGTAGAAATAATACACACGCCTCGTCTCTCGGGGTAGATCCAAACACTGTACCGTTCACGACCGTATTTTTCGTACCTAATATAGTACATCATTTTACAGGGACGCGCTAGGCGCGGCGTCGGCCTCCTCGCTCCGGCGGCCCAACACCGGGGGAGGGGAGACCACCGCAGATGAGGCCCTCCCTTGGAAGAGGCGCGAGGTGGAAGCGTTTCCACTCCGGCTCAAACACCTCTATCCGGCGACGAACTACATGGTGAGAGGCGCGTTCCGGCGTAGGAGTTCAGTCTCCTTTGTTAGAAGTAGGACTCTCCTCTCAGCTAGCAATAGAGGCACCTTGAGGGTAAACAAAAGCAAAGACACGTATGTAGATTTTGTGACCCCGGCTGGAACGTCTCAAAGAATGGTAGGTGCGGACTCAGGGGTGAACAGACAATATAACAGGTTCAAGTAGGTATTTTTTCGTCTGAGGCTTTGCTCTCGTTCGTGTTTATGCTCATGAACGACAAATTTCACGTTAGCCGATTCTCCCCTCGGGCTCGCGGCCACAACAAGGGCGTAAACAGCCTCATTGGAACATGGAGTCTGTGCTTGGTTCGATTTGGTTTGCTCGTTTCCCTTGTACAAACAGACGGTGCCTGGCGAGCAATATCTGTAGTCGTCGGGACAAAGATACATCTAGTGTCTATGCATGCTGACCAAATCGCCAAGCATCCCAAGACATGGGTCGCAAATCAACGACGCAGGTAAATTATATTTTTCGCAAGTGACACACCCGGTTGACCACCATCAAGACAGGGAAAAATTGAAGTTCAATCATTCCTACCTGAAGCCCGTATGTGTTCAATGGGCATCCTCCCACTCGCGAAAACGCCTCTGTTGCCATGGTGCCGATGCAAATTAGTTTCCATCTTAGTAGTAAGCAAATCGATCACCAAGACGACTAAGACACAACGTTCGCTCCCCGGTCGCACACCACTACACGTACCACGCGTGTTCTCCTGCTGTACGCAAAGGTGCGCGTCTCGGCGCAAACCCTCGCCGGCTACGGCGTCCCGTCGCGAGAGGCCCTGCTCCGCACTCGGGTTTCTCCGCCGTCAGCCCCGAAGGAGGCGGCCAACATGGTGTCGGCGACACCCAACAGCATCACCGTGGGCTGGGTGCCTCCCAAGTACGAGAACGGTAAGGGTGTTGTTGAGCGAGCACACGCGTGGCGTTCGATCACGCCTTCGGGCAACCGGGTAGGCGGGGATTCTGTGTTTGCCCGTGCCCGCATGTGTGTGCAACAAGGCCAGGTTGGGGACTTGGCTGTGGAGTTGGCGTTGGCGTTGGCGGTGGCTGGCTTTGTTTCGCTTTCGAGATGACCATGTAATCGAAGATGCCATGCGTTTACCATTTTGGGCGCGAATGGCGCGTGGAAAGGTGAATGGTGTGGTGAAAGCGGTCAGTTTGCTTTTTCCAGGCAACAGCGGGCCAAGAGTCACTGACACTGAACGGAGAAGAATGAGCGAAGCTTTGTTTCGCGGAGTTAGACTCTCAAAGGCAATATTAGTTCAACGGAGCCTTGTTCCGGCTACGCCATGACACATGCCAAACAAATCGTCCCCCTCAATGCGGAGACCGCTTGAGAGCGGCAGAGACCCGTCTCCTGATGGGTAGAATGTTAGACAACAATCCACGTCGCACTAGACATCACGTCCACATCTCGTCTGGACCCAGACTAAAGCCATCTCGTTTGTTCCACACATCCTCGGTTGGTGGTGCATTCTTACTCAATACGTCGATGCATGGCAAACAGGTGAGCCTATCACCAGGTACGAGATCCAACGGCTGGTTCTCGACCGGCATCACCCCGATTGGGACAAGGGGCGTGTGTTGGCCAAGACTGGGAGCAGTGAACTCCTCACTACCACCACCACTACCACCACCACCAGCGATTGCAGTGGCAGCGACAACAGCAACGGCAACGACGAGAGCACGAACACCGTTACCGTAACGACTTCAACCAATTCTATCTGCTCTGCCTCGAGAACCCAGACCGAGGCAACACAAGCTCCAGCAGAGACGCCCGCGTGTGTTGGCTCCGGTGTGGAGTCGGGCTCTACTGAAGAATCCAGGGTCAAGCTACCTTCGGTGTCGGGAGGAGGAGGGTCGGGGACGGGGGCGATGGACGAGGACAAAAAGAAGATCGGAGTATGGATCGGGCGAAGGACGGACAAACTGTCTCCCTATCATACCGCGGGGGGGCTTCCCACCTACTGCAGGTGCGCCAGATGAAGAACGCACTTGGTACATACATATGCTTTAGGAGACTTTGTGTGGTAAGGGGAGCATGGGGAGAGATAGGTGGTGGGCGGCACATGTGAAGGTGCAGGGGGAATCTCCGCTTTGCAAGTCACTGTTGATGATTTCTTCGGGGCTAAAATCGCAAGATCATCCCACCTCACAGTGTAGACCTATACACTCTCATTTTTCCCGCCCGAAGAAGCGACAAGACTTTCCTGGGAGCACAAGGAGGCTCTCAAACGGCATAAAGACACACCGAAAACAAATTCCACTCCCATTGGGCACAAACAACAACCACAGGGCTCTGTTCCGGGTGAGGGCGGGGAACCTGGCCGGATGGGGTCCTTGGTCACCCTCGAGCGACGCCCTGGAGGCCCAGGACATCATCCTGCCCATCAAAAGAGGGGCCACCCAGATGCTCATGCGTTGGTTCAACAAGCCCGATGGGGACGTCTTGCGATGGGAGTTGTCGAGGCGGGTACGTAAGGGTACAGACGAGTGTGTATTTTGCTGGTTGTTTTTTTATTGATCTTGGTGGGCGTGTACCCTGCGTGCACGCGGAGAAGTCACATGTTCTGTAGGCATGCGCATGCACTTGAAAGTGGCTGTGTTTAGGTGTTTTTTCGCTTGCTTTCGAGCGAAGGAATATTGAATATCGCCTTGATCGTGCATTCGTCTCGTAAGGGGTCACAGCAGGCATACTATAGATTTGGCCGGGGAGTGTTGATTCACCCGTCAATCTCGAGTACAATGTGTGCGTAGCGGTGCTAAACTTGTGTGCCCTGTTGCTCATGCCTCTATTGCCAGATCGGGTAGTATCAGCGGCTCTAGTATCAACCGCAAAGCACGGTAGAGTCAACAGACCGTCAGTCACCAGCGGGGGCCTTAGTTGCGGTGTTTCAATCCCCGGTCGCTCGCCTACCCGCTTCAAACACTTCCCGCCTCGCGGATCGACTCTCTACCAAACGGGCTACGTACCAGGTCTTCAAGTACGGCACAGACTTTAGGGGCGACAATGACGACAGCTGGATTTTGTGTTCGAGGGATATTCCTGGTTTACGCGAAGGCGAGAGCACGTTTCGCTGCAAAGGTACGGGAAGTTTGTTTTTTGTTTCGGTCATGTTAACGATGACGTACGGCACTTGGGGAACGTATCACGAGGCGTGTATATCCATGTCTCAGTCCGCCCCGCCCCCTGTTTATACCCCGGCATGCCCCCAAGGACAGGTCTCATGCCCGGAACAGAGTACCAGTTTCGGTTGCGCGCGTACTCCAACGGCTGCTGGCAGGCCAGCGAGGAGTCCATCGTGAGCAGTCCTTTCAAAACGATCTGCTCGCCGCCGGACGCGCCCCCCGCCTGCCCATGCACCCGCCAGCTGGCATCGGACCCGCTTGTGGTAGGGGGAATGGTCGACACTGGGGCCTTGTTGTCGGCCGATGCCGAAGAACCCGCAACAAGCGGTATCACGAGGGGAGACAATCGTCGTGATGGTGATGGTGATGGTGATGGTGATGGTGGGGGTGTCGACGGAAGGGGGTCCGTGGACGCGGGCGGGGATGCTGCCTTCTCGAGGAGAACGAGGGCGGCGGCTGCGGCGGCCGCTGTTGTCCGAGGAAAGGCTCGCGCGGAAGAAGACTTCGCCGACACCGGAAGAGATGTCAATGGTTGCGCAGATGCCGGCAGCGAAAGCCGTTACGACGGCCACAGCAGTGGCAGCGGTGGCGACGATGGGAGGACGGAAACGCATGGTGACCAGGGTGCTGGTGAGGGAGTCGGCAAGGCCGCTTGCAAGAGTATCGTCCACGGGGAGGGGAGGGCGGAGGTGATGGGGCTCGAGGTAAAAGATTGGGACAAATGTGTCCGAACAAGCAGGGACGACGAGGAAATAATCCGGCGACGGACGCACGAAGCGACATCCCAGGCGGAAGAGCAGGACGAGGTGGGCATGGAGCAAACTGGTGCGCGAGGAGTGCGGTTGAGCAACGATGAAGCGGAAAGCATCGGGGAGTCGCCTTTCCTGCCTGAGTTATCGGGCGATGCCACGACGAAGAGAAATCACGGAGAACTGGAAGAAGGGAAGAGCCGAGAGGATGAGAGTGTGGAAGACTTAGCGAAAACAGCCAAGTTATGCTCGAGCGCGTCGACGACGATGGTGCTAGAGTGGGACGCGGGTTGTACTAATGGGTCGATCACTACCAACTACGAGGTGAGTTAGGAGCCTTTCATATCGTGGCTTGGAAAATACAGAAAAAGAAAGCTACTCTCTCGGAGCGATGGAGTTTGGAAATAAGTGCGAGAGGTTTTGCTGATGATGTGTGGGAACAGTAAATGAAACAAAACACTACTTTTGGTCACAGGTGTGCACAAAAATTCGCCAACCACAAGCACTTCTGGACCATCCGTCATAGAGGTGGTTTTATGAAGGTATTTCGGCCGTCGGGGAACAGACAACGCTCGGACCATCGGTCTTGCGCCATTATTGCAATGACGATATCAGCGCGTGACGTTAGGTGTGGGGCGTGGCAGACTCCACCCAAGGCCAAGACAAGACGAGCGGAAGTGGCAAATGGACACTGGTAGCCTTGACGAAGGCCGCACCGACGGCAACCCTGAGTGGGTTGCGCGAGGTAAGCACCTGACCCAAGGGAAGCGGTGTATTCTGACGTTGGGCAATGAAGAGCTTCATCAGCAGTTTCACCTGTCTCAGCTTATAATATTTTCTAGTGTCGTCAAGACAAGATACTATTTTATATACATACATCACCACAAGCGATATACGAAGTATAGGTATGTAAGTCCCTTTGCAACCCCCCTCTCGTCTTTAGGCGCAACCATACCGATTCAAGGTCCGAGCCCGCAACGGGCTCGGATGGAGCGAGTTCGGCCCGCCTACCCCACCGGTTGTCTTGAACCCGCTGCGGCCTTGCGAAGCGCCGGAGCTGGTGGACCGAGGCATAACATGGCTGGCTTTGAAGCTACGCGCGCCACCAGGGGCGGGGCTTCTGCTCGGCTTTGAGATGCACATGTATGTTGGTCGTTGAGTTGCACGTGACGTCGTACTGTGCGATGCCGTTCAGTTATGCAATATGCCCTCAGGTTCTCGACAGTTTATCGCGGCAACACGTTAGTCCGCCAGTCTTTCCATGTCGAAAGCCTTATGTGTAGGCGTGCGAATGTAAGGACGCGTTCAAACAAATCAAACTTGAATTCAAACTGCGGGTGGCGAGCGTATGGGTCACTTACCACGTTTGATGTGCATGTCGAACCTTCGTCCCAATCTTACTTGCAACAATGCATCATGAATACCCCCTGACCCCCCCTGGTGCGTGAAAAGGAGCAGGGCGTTAAACAATGATCTATGCATGACTTGATAGGGATGCGTGATTTGAAAGACACTTTTGTCAACATCGTGGATGATGTACGGTCATGTACATCGCCTTTGCCACGACTATCAAAGGTGCCGGTGGGCCCCCGGAATGAGCGAGGGTGAAGAAACGTGGCGCCTAGTGGTGGACTCCCAGAGAGAGCAAGGTGGTCGAGAGGACCCCTCGAACTCTTCGACAACAACAACAACAACAACAACAGCATCCCCATCGTCAAGGCGTGAGGAGTCCCGCATGGTATGGGACTTGAAGCCAGGGGCGGGCTACCGCTTCAAGGCGCGCGCACGAACGGTGTTTGGTTGGAGCCCCGGAGGGCCCGCGAGCGACGTGTACAACACTGCGAGGCGTTTTTGATCTCATTTTCAACCGATTTTTCGCAGAGAGGGTTCGCACATTGTGTCGAAATCCATATTGTAAGGACCGGACGTTTTTCGTTTCGTCTAGGGCCGTTGAGAAGCAAGGAGAGGCGGAGGATAACCTTCTGTGAGCAGGACATGTTTTGCTAGAACGCTTGATTCTGCTTTCGACAATGTCCTGGCCGTATCTGTGATCTCGGGTTCTTCCCGCGATATTTTGCACACGGTCGGATTGGAGTGACTGGAAACAACAAGACTAAGGTGAAAGACAACGACATTTACTTCGGGCACCAACTTTCATCCCACGCATGCATTGCATTCTGCGCTCCTCCAGGAGAAACACCTCAAGGGGAAGGCGGGGGCTCGGGGCATACCGCACTGTACACCGTAATTTGGTTGGGGAATTGCGCGAAACTGCCAACAACGGCTCTTCTTGAGCACAAACAAGGGTCAAAGTTGTTTCGGAGAACTCGGTCTCTTGATATCTATGTGATCCATCTTACCAACTGTTCCTACCGAAACCGCTACAGAAAACCGTTATTGTGCTCATCATTACAGCAGAACGTGAGCACAAAGATAACATTTCGCAAACAAACTCGTGACACTAAATTGTGGGCCATGCAATCTGCGTTGGCCACTGACCGTCTCCGCCAGCAACCAGAACAACAAAACAACTAGACAACGAAGTCGCAGAATAACAATATCGACCGGGAAACAAGTGTGTCGTCTAGGATACACCTATTTCGCTCGATTGAGGACACTGGCTATTGTCGGAGACAGATGCCGGTGCCGTGGCAGTATTATCCCACTGCCAGGGGAAGGCTATTTCCTCTCGTGATGTGTAAACGAGGAGAAGAGGGTAGAAAGAGAGAGTGGCCATAGCGGCAGAGGGAGAGGAGAGTCGAAGACTCTCCGCTTCCACTTTCGGCAAGTGGCCAGGGACTTCGGAAGATATCCATCTCCGACGGTGCATTTCCTGTCACTCTCCTTGTGACAAGATACCCCGAGGGAGCCATATCTTCCTACACTTTGTATGTGCACACATGGTTGGTTATACTCCTGACAGGTGTCCTCCACATCACCCCCCCCTCTATGCGCCACAAGTCCATCTGTGCTAAAGATGTGCTTTTGGCGGCCATAGACATGAGTGGCTCATGGAGACACATGTATTGGAGTTAACCTACCTGGTACAACATCATCAACTCGGCCTGATTATCATACAACGCGTGTTAAAAAACACGGAGTCTTCAGACAGAGTAGTGATAGATGTGGTCCATACTAGTAAAGTCTAGAAAAAAAATTGTGGGTACTGGGCTATCAAGATGACAGCTAGTGTACTAAAATATTTCGCATGATAATGCTGTGGGGTTGATGAGAGATAGGCTCGTAATGAGGTGACCCTCCGGCGAGTCTGTCTTTTCATCATAAAATAATATCGTGATGAGGAATAAACTTGTAATGAGGTGACCCTCTAGCAAGTTTTCTCTATTCATCATCGAAAAATAAGATCTTGATGGAGGATGAACTTGTAATGAGGTGACCCTCTGGCAAGTTTATCTGTTCACCAAAACATAAGATATTGATGGAGGATGAACTTGTAATGAGGTGACCCTCTGGCAAGTTTATCTATTCATCAAAAACAAGATCTTGATGGGATGAACTTGTAATGAGGTGACCCTCTGGCAAGTTTATCTATTCATCACAAATAAGATCTTGGTGGGATGAACAACTTGTAATGAGGTGACCCTCTGGCAAGTTTATCTATTCATCACAAATAAGGTATTGATGGGGGATGAACTTGTAATGAGGTGACCCTCTGGCAAGTTTATCTATTCATCAAAAAAATAAGATCTTGATGGAGGATGAACTTGTAATGAGGTGACCCTCTGGCAAGTTTATCTATTCATCAAAAAATAAGATCTTGATGGAGGATGGACTTGTAATGAGGTGACCCTCTGGCAAGTTTATCTGTTCATCAAAAATAAGATCTATTCATAAAAAAATAAGATCTTGGGACAGCGGTGGTATCATTCAATTCTCCTCGCGAGTGTTTCCCCAAACACTTCAAAAATAGGTTGTTTCCACTGGATACAACCAACCACCGTGGCTACTGGTCCTGTGCTAAATATATATATATAACACAGAATAATAGTAGTATAAATTTGTCTCAAGTCTCGGAAAAGATAGACATGGCAACTGTTAGGAACGATAGAATAAATCATTCGTTTAATTTCCGGGCCCTAGTTCGTTTTCGTTTGCTAGTACGGCAGGGCAATTGAGTATCACTCTGTGTCGTAGCAGAACGCGACTTGGGTAATGGACCCTCCTTTAGGAGCCTTCTTCGTCGCTTCTTGGTTTTGTTCGGTGGCTCAGAGCCACTTTGCGTTGCCAATTTCCGACTTAAAGGTTCTTGAGGAGTAGCTGCCTGTTTTTCGTTTTCGTTTCCCTGTTTTACTGGGTGATTTTGGGTCTCCCTGTTCAACTGGGGCACGAGACGACGATTTATTAGGCTGCACGATTTCCAAACCACAACGGATTCGGTAGGCAGATATCATTTCTTGACATTGTGGAATTTCGTCTGCTCTATATTCAAGGTCTGACTCAGGGCCGTAGCCTCGAAGACGCAAACGATACTTGTAGTTGTACGGGGTTTTCGGCCCCTTACCACTCTTATGACTTACCACTTTGTCAACGACGTAGGATTCAATTTTCGGTTGAGCTTCGTCGGGATGGTCTAGCTCGGGCAACGGAATCTGGCGTCCTAAGAAAAACTCGGAAAGCTTATCAAAGTCTGGCGCAGGTGGCGTTTTCCTCGCGTAGTACTGTTTAATGTGGGCTAAATGGACCGAAACTTCTCGAGTTTCGTTCTGGCGTCTCACTCTATATACCACCGGTGATAATTTAGAGCAGATGACGTAAGGTCCTCTCCACGGTAACAATAATTTCGGATTTGGTCCATCCGAATCCTGGTATGGGCGGTACACAAGTACTAGATCACCAGGTTTAAACACAGGGATAGGGCGCAGTTTAGCGTTCTTAGCAGCTTGTTTTTTTGTGCGTTCCGATAGGTTACGGCGCGCTAGTTCAAAAGCAACCTGTAGATTTTCCTGTGTTGTTTTAGAGAATTCCTCGGTATTCGCTGTTGTTCCCACATGAGGGATGCCGAGGATAATGTCAACTGGTAGTCGTGGCTTCCGACCAAACATAAGAAAGAATGGTGTTTCATGCATGGTGGAGCTAAATGACGTGTTGTAAGCCAGTTGGACAAAAGGCAGCAATGATGCCCAGTTATCGCGGTTCATGGAACTATGCATGGCAAGCATTGCGTGCATGGTAGCATGTACTCGTTCTGAGACAGAATTACCCTGCGGACGGTATGGTGTCGTGCGGGTTTTCTTGTAGTTCAGAATACGCTGTAATTGGTGGACTACACTGTTCTCAAATTCAGGTCCTTGGTCGGAATGCAACAGTTCAGGCGATCCAAAGATGCTGATGATGCGGTCGATAATGGCCTGAGCGACAGTGATTGCTGACTTGTTGGGAATCGGAGTCAACACGGTGAATCGGGTTAGGTGGTCCATCATGGATAGGACATGTTTGCACCGTACCCCGGCGGCTGAAACTGATTCTACTTTATATTCAACTAGGTCAACCGAAATACGTTCAAACGGTCTTTGTACTGGTACATGTCCCGTTGGTAATTTGTTCCGGTTGTGGGCTGTTTTCCGACGTTGACAGGCTTGGCATTCTTGACACCAAGTACGGACGTCCCGATTCATGGTTGGCCACCAGTACTTTTGGCGAATCTTCTCATAAGTCGGTCTAGACGCTAAGTGGCCCCCAGATAATACGTGGTCATGATAGGCGTGTAGCACTAGTCCGGTAAGGGCGTAAGGCAACACCAATTGGTCACTACGTACTACGTTTCCGGAGGTAGCCTGGTAAATACGATTTAAACAGCAATCCATCACGCACGAAGTAGTACGACATGGAAGTGGTTGTCTCGTCATCAGGTAATTGAGCGTCAGGTTTTGTAAGATAGTCGATATACTTGCCATATTCAAGAGCTTGTTTTTCACGCAAGATATCGCGGTTAATAGTTTCAAATACGTTGGTCGCGCTAATATAAACTGATTTCTCAGCGAATAATTCGCGATCACTTTGAACCGGTCGCAAGTTTTCCAAACGATCTGCAGACACTTGGTACGGACGTGGTGGGACATTTGAATGCAGCGCAGGGTCATCAGGCACATTCCTACATATCGGTGCAAGTTGCGGTGCTTCCAACTGTTGTTGGTGATCGAACGCAAACAACCGAGATAGGGTGTCTGGGACTACATGTAACTTTCCCGGCTTGTGTCGCACTGTAAAGTCAAAGGACTGCAAAGCGATTGCCCATCTGGTCAGCATATTAGACGTGTCTTGCATTGTGTACAAATATCTCAATGCCGCGTGATCCGTGACAACTTCGAAATGTCTGCCCCACAAGTAGGGTCGCCAGTGTTGTAAACTCAAAACCACACCGTAACATTCCTTCATCGTCGCAGAGTAATGACGTTGAGCCTTGTTAAATCGTTGGCTAAAATAAGCGATAATATTCACATCGTCGCCGTTCTTTTGGCCCAGGAATGCTCCTGCACCAACTTCACTAGCATCTACGTGAACCACGAAGTCTTTGGTAATGTCAGGGAAACATAACACAGGTGCTTTGCTGAGTAACCGTTTGATCTCTGCAAAAGCCTTATCATGTTCCTGGTTCCAACGTTTTGCGATCGATTTTACATGCTCTTTTTGTGTGAGTTCGACTAGCGGTGCGATCACCGTAGAAAGGTCGGGTATAAATTTCCTCACATAGTTCACCATTCCCAATACTGAGCGAAGCGCTTTGATTGTTTTGGGTGCAGGCAAATCGACAATAGACTTTATACGATCTTCCCCAACACGAATCCCTTTTGCCGACAGTATATGCCCCAGGTATTTTACTTCCTGTGGTCCAAA